GTGGGGCCCTGTCCTCGTGTCACCGCGGGGAAACTGAGGCAGGGCGGGCAGGACAGGGCTCCCGGCAGCACCAACAGCGGCTGCTGCAGGGACGGAGCCTCCGCTAACTTAACATGAAAAACGACAGGGGGGAAGTGCCAAGGAGCAGCAGGCAAAAAATATCGATGATGAGACAAATGTAATGAGTCAAAGCTAATGGATCCTTCGGGGCAGGGAAGAGTGGCCAAGAAGGGGGAGGCTGCGGGCACAGACCCGGCGGGGCTGGGGACGCGCTGGAAGCCCCTTCTGCCAGGGCAGCCGCTGCCAAGGGCGGTCCCAGCAGCTCCATGAACGCCGGGAGAAACGTGGTCCACGGGGACGGATGGAGAAGGGCACAAGCGGGAGCTCCACCTCGGAGTCGGCTCTTGGAGAAGGGCTCTTGGGAGAGGGGAACGGACAAGCCCTGACTGTGAGTGTCACTTCCCTGGGCCACAGATTCGCTCCCTGGGGACGTGGTGGTGGTGACAGGGGTCACTGAGATCTGCAGTCACCAGCGCTGTTTGAAGAAAAACCTCAGGCATCTCTCACTATAAAAAACAAATCTTTTATGTAAAAAATAAACCTAAACAAAACCCACAACCCCCGCTGCCATGGTAGTGACAATACAAAAGGCCGATTCCCCAGAACACCATGGAAAACAAAGTAGCCGGGTCCAAATATATATAAATCATCAACTTAGGAGATTGGAAATAGCACCTTGCTCGGCCCTCCCTGCAGGTCAGCCCCGCTCCGAGCCGCTTCTCGGGCGCTGCGGAGCAGCGGGAGGAGCCGCGGGCTGGATGGACCCTGCGGTACCGAGCAGCGTCCCCGAGGGCGGCCGGGCAGAAGGGATCTGTCACATCCGACCTCAAACCAGTATTAAGAGAGGACAAAAACACTTTTCTGTCTGCACTGCAGGGTCAAGTAACAAAAAGAAACAGGAAAAAAAAAAAAAAAGGTCCTGGTTCATATGATTAAAGGACACATTAATTGTGGCATCTGCTCCTTCTCCCTCGGCTCTGAGCGGTGCCACCGTGGCTGCCCTCTAGTCCCCTTGCTTAGGGAGGCACTATGCAGGCAGGTAGATTTGATTCCGTGTGTTTGCTTTAAAATGCATTTTCAAGCGCACAGAACCAGTTCAAGGTAAACCGCATCTGGCCTTGGTCCTCTTTCATAATCTTTGTTTTTAAGGTTTGCTTTTTCCTTCTGTCTTTCTCGTGTTCCTGTCTGCCATCCGAGGATCCCTGCGTCTGGCAACACATCCTCTTCCCGAGCGATGCTCGCTGCCTCCTCTGCCGCAGGCCTGGAGACCTGGGACCATCCTGGCTGCGGCCTGAGCGCTTCCCCTCTGGGCCTTGGCTCCATCCAGTCCCCAGTTGATATTTTCTGTATGTTTTCTAGAGCTTCTTAGTAAAACAAAGTCCTCTGGGAATCCCAAATGGATTTTTCTTTTTGTTCATTTGGTAGTTTCTTTTAAGTTGAAATGGTCTTACCGAGGAGAAGTCGAACAGGTTCTTGTTGATCTTCCGCAGGGTGCTCACCTCCTCCTCCAGCTCGCTCACCTGGAGTGTCAGATGCTCCTGGTCTCCCATCAGGTTCTGTGAGGGAGGAATGGGACACAGGAGCCTCAGGATCTGGGGTCTCAACTCTGGCCAGCGGGACATCAGCAAACCCCATGTCCCTGCATCCTCTGCCGCCTTCATCTCCGGCTCGGAGCTCTGTCCCTCCCACTCGCCAGCTTTGACCCGGGCCCAAGGGGCCGGTTCTGCTCCGTGGGGACCCCCCGGGCTCTGCCCCTCCTCGAAGGGCTCTCACCTTTTCCCTCGTCGAGTGCATCTGCGCGTACATCCTCTCCGCCTTCTCCAGGTAGCTCTCCCGGATCGGATGGGACAAATGACGCAGGAACACTGGGTGCCCTCACCAGGACCCGGAGATCCCCACTGGGGCTGGCGAAGAAACCCCCCGTTCCTCAGATGCAGCCACAGGGACAAAGCAGCGACCGGGCGGCTTCATGGGCCGCTCTGGACCAGGGAATCCCTGTGCCCTGCGTGGCTGGGCCGGGGGGCTCCCAAACAGCCCCTGGGAGCCCCTTGCTCCAAACCTCACAGCCCCAATCCCGCTGCAGGGGGGAGAGCTCCACGGACTGACACCTCCCAAACAGCTCCAGAGCTGCCCCTGTCCCCAGGAGGGGACAAACAGCCTCCCCGCCAGGGCTGACACCTCCCGGCTCCGGGCGCATCCATGAGAAGCGCCAGCATCACCCTTCTCCAGGGATGGACTCGGAGAGGGAAGCGTGGGGCGAGCGGATGCAGGGAAGCTCCGACGGCGCTCGGAGCGGCTCCCGCCCCGGTCGGGGCGGACCGTGGGAGAGCGGAGCGCGCCGGCGCCGCGGCGCGAGGCTGGCAGGACAAATGACTGCACCAGCCGGGCGGCACGGGGAAGGCGAGGGAGGCAGGACGGATTTCACTGCATTGGAGGATGAACTTTGCCGAGGGGAAAACAGCCCCCCTCGCAACAGGAAAAAGCTGCGGACCAGCCTGGATCTTTGCAGGCAGGACCCGGGCACTGCAGGGCCCAAACCCTGATCCTGCCCTGTCCCCACTGCCTCCGGGGCAGTGACTTCAGAGCAGCCCCCCGTACCTGCTGGTGGAGGCCGAGACGCAGCGTCACCCCCTCGTTGCCCTGCTCGTCGCTGCTCTCGGTGCCGTGCAGGTGCTTGCTGAACTTGGGCAGCGGCACGCTGGGCTTGCCGTCCGGGTTGAACATGTTGGCCGGGGCCAGCACGATGAACGCGTTCGTAACCGGGCCTGGAGGAAAGGGGGGGAACGTGACCGGGTTTGTGTCCGCTCCGGGAATGGGACGGAGGACGCAAAGGCGCAGGCGGGCGG